AGTTCATTTCAATTTGACCCTTCCGTTCAAGGTGAAAATTAAAATTAACAATTATGTGATACTTTTTAGTATCTTCTGTTCAAGGTGAACCCAAAAAATTGCAAAAATTATTTAGTGTTCTGTGAAGACAACGTGGCTACGTAATCAACCAATCATGTTTCGTTATTTTCCCATATTGTCCCCTTTTTTTTTTAGGCGATGTATGTACACAACTCCTTATTGGATGGGTATCGCCACCTTAAAATTCCTAAAAGACCAAATAAATACTCCAAAAATTGAATGTAACTACTCCTTCCGACATAATTAACCGCCACATTTATGTGGTGGAGCTGATCATACTTGCTTGGTAACTTACTATTGAATAATGATACGTGTTGATAACGACATAATATTACTATTGCATTTAATTTTTTTCCTAGAAGAAATCGCAAAAAAGTTATCTAATGTTTGCCACATAATTAAGTCACCATAATTAAGAAATCGCAAAATTTTGTGGGCCCCACACCCATGTGAGACATTTGATTATTTATTTGGTAGAAAATTTAGGACCTCTAACATTTTCCATAACTATATTATACTCTAAAGAAATATGTCATCTATTTTCCCCATTAGTTTTAAGTGCAAGGGCGCTCCTTGCAGACATGCCAGTATGAAATTCAAGAATTTCTGTTTGGATTTTGAATTTTGAAAAGAAAATTAAAGTAAAAGTTAAAAGCTAAAAGCTAAAAAATAAAAGACAAATTACTGAATTTTAAAATAAAAAAAAACATATAATAAATTTTACAAGTTTAACATAATTACATTAATATTTTTTTGGGTAAAGCTGAGGTAACTAATGCAGAGGGTTCTTCTTCAATAAAGTTTAGGTGAATGAAACTAATACAGATGGTATGTAGACACAAAGATGATCAATAGTAATAAAATAAATATTTAAACGTAAAATAAATAATATCATTTTTTCCATCCAAACGGCTAACGAATGACTTATGAAAAGAGAAAAAAGTGTCGTATAAATTAAAATCTTTAAAAAAACACTTATGTTAAATTTGTGAGTCTTAATATAATTTTTTAAACCTCAAAGGAGGTTAATGTAATTTTTCCAATAAAAAATCTTTTCACTTTTTTTTTTTTTTTTTCACTCAAATTTAAAATCCAAACACACCAAAGCTTCAAATGTCGCAACCATTCCACATTGGCCTAAAATGTGGAACTTCCCAAGATTATTTGGACTATGACAACCATTTTAAACTATTTTCCTTCATGATCAACTACTATTATAAAAATGTGAAAAGTCTATCATGTTTTTTTATTTTTTTTAAATTTTAATTTTATTCTCTCAATTCTATTATATTTTTTAAAAGTCATGAAGAATTCTATATAAACTAACTATCTCTTTATTTTTGGAGGTGAACACTCAAAAAAGATATATCTTCCAAAAGTCCTATATAAATATAAACAAACCATCACTTTTATAAAAAAAAAAAATTTTAAAAAAAAAAATAAAAAAAAAAAGGAAACTGTCTCCCTATTGTTTACATTAATCATGATTGAAGAATAAAAAATAATTATTTTTTCTTATTTCTTGTGTTTATTTCTATATTGATATACATAATATTTACAATTGTCCATCATGGGTTAAAATACTTGTAAATAATTTTGGTTGAATCTTCAAGTTATGTGTATTTGTTGGAATCCAAACAAAGGAAAGTTTTTAAAACAAAGATTTGTCCTGCATCTTCAAATTTTGCAAGTTATCTTTGCCTCCGTTTGGGAAGTAGGTTGGCTTTTTGGTTTTTTTTGGCTATTTTAGTCTGGGCTAAAAAGCTTGGTTTGGGAAAGGCTTTTTGGCTTTTTGGCTTTTTTGACTTTTTTTGTGAGAGAAGAATGTAATGATTATAGGTTGGATGTGATGTTTTGTTTGTTATGGCTAAAATAGCCCATTTTGTTTTTTGTGGCTAAAATAGCCAAAAAAGCCTGAAAAAGCCCTTGCCAAACACAGGCTTTATATACTTTCTTTTTGTTTAAATTATATTTTACGAACTATAATATTTTATATGGTACTTTAATAACTAAGGTATGATGTCAAAATTCTAAATAAGAACCACTTTCATTGGTTTTATTTTTTAAATTTGTTTTTCAATTTTTGATTTTTTATATTTTCTCAGTTTTAGTGATTAAAAATACTGAAATTTCTTCATATTTTATATTTAAATTATACTTTTACATGAAAATCTAATATCAAATAATCTAAATAAAATTAAAAAGTAAAATATTGACAAAAAAAAATTATAAATTCAAACATATACTGATTTTTTGTTATTATTATTGTTGTTGTTGTTGTTGTTGTTGTTGTTTAATATTAATTGTTTAATATTAATAATTTTTTTCCAAAAAAATAAACAACAAATTATTTTCTCAGTGTATTTAGATTAAGTGAATCTAAATCTAAAAGTAAAATTTAAAAAAAAATAGAAAGTATTAAACTAACATGTATCACTTTAGTTTTCTAACATGTATTCATACTTGTCGATCTGTAATGCTATATTACCATTGGATACTTTATTTTTATAACATGTATCGCTTTAGTAATATAACAATAATGATTCATCCCCCCTTTTCCCCTCACCCCCTTTGACCCCCTCTCTCTCTTATTGGTTACATTTTCTTTTTCTTTTTCTTTTTTTTCCTACTCCTCCAATCACCACCCGCCACATGGCAAAGGGGGGTGAGGGGGTGACCCCAAAAGGGGGTCCCAAGCATTATTCGTAATCTAATTATGTTTGTTAGGAAAAAATTGCAGAATGGTGTATTATTCTCCTATCAACTTATGTTTATACATGCATGTCATACAAACAAGTGTCCACAACAAATATTTTCAATAACAAAACAAGACTTGCATAATACATCCATCACGACAATAATTGTACTTTTTTTTCCTCATAGAAAAAATCACATTATTGAGAAAAAATAAATTTTGAAATTCATAACAATATGGTATCGCCTCAAACTCTTACTCATCAAAATATTTTTATTACAATGAGTTATAATGGTGAGCAAGAAAAAAACAAGAAGATGGTGAAACAAAAATTACAGAAGATCTATTGCAACATACTCTCCAAGCAAAGTTAGACGAGCTAAAGCAAGAATTGTCCTATCTGTTATGAAGTTCAAGCAAAATAGTGTACCTCGTGCACACATTGTGGTCAAATTATAAGGAAAAAATCAAATGATGTCCAAACATTATCGCAGCAATTCAATGATACAAAAAGTAAGTATATCAAATAAGAAATTTTAATCAATTTTTGTTATATGCTAATTACTTACAGATGTCATAATAAATTATGTAACTTGACAGTTTCATGAAAGTGACCCTGCTGAAATGAAAATAATTATACCATTTTCTTAAACATCATGAAAATAATTATGAATTTTCTATAATGATCGAAACATTAAGTTACAATAACATTCAATTTTCTTAAAAAGATTATTCCACATTTTGTATAGAAATGAAAATATACTAATGTTATATTTTTCATCATGCAATATATTTGTGATATAGGAAACGAGACTCAACAACTCTTGATGTATAAAAATATATTATATATTGATATTAATGCATTCTTACACCAATGGTATGCAAATAATATGCAATAGTGAGCTTAATGAATTTGTACTATGAGATAAACTATTAGATAAAATTGTGTAATTGTACAATTAATTTTATTCCTTCAATTACATTATAGGTACAGATTATGAAAAATTAAAATGAAAAGTTAATAGAAAAAAAAATTGTATAATACTATATATTTAAAGAATCTGCTTATAATGAATGTTCATACTTATAAAATTTCTCATTTATTATTTAAATTCTTTAGCCGAGTATGTATTCATTTCTTGCTTAGTTGTATTTTAGATTACAGATCAATTTACTTATTCAAGTTTCCATACTTTGTATACATATCACATGCCAATTTAAAAGAAATGCATAATGATAGTATTAACAATTAATAAAAAAATCATGTGTTTCGTACAACGCACGTACCCAACTACTAGTAAACACAAAGGATAGAACTAAAAGAAGACTATTAGGGGAGCCATAGTCCTCCTATTTCTATGAAAAAAAATCTATTCATCATTAACACTTTTAAAATATATATCTTATTTCATAAATAAAATAACTCCTCAATATAAAAGCTATATATCACATTCTTCTATCATCTCTCTTTCTTTTCTCTTTTTTATCAAAAAAATATTCTTTATCCTAATTAGAGATTACTTCTATAGTATTTGCATTTTTTTATATGTATATATATAATTTATCAATCGCGCTACGTAGCTCGAAAACGAAGAGCCCTAATGGCTCGATTTTTTTTTTTTTTTTTGCAGAAGAAGAACGAAGATCTGGAAGAAGAAGGAAGAAAGGAGGAGGAGGAGGAAGAGGAGGAAGAAGGGAGGGAGGAGGAGCAGGAGGAGAACTGGAGGGGGCATAATATTCGAGAGAGGAGGAGGCGGGGCGACGGCGGTCGGAGGCTGCGGCGGGGCTGGGCTGGGCGACGATCGGCGGGGCGACGATCGGTGGCTGGGCGACGATCGTCTTCTCTCTCTCTCTCTCTTCCCCTCTGCTTCTCTCTTTCTCTCCCTCTCTCTATGCTTCTCCCTTTCTCTCCCTCTCCCTCTGCTTGTCTCTTCCCCTCTGCTTCGAAATCGAGCCATTCGGGGCAAATGTTTCGAGCTACGAAACATTTTCCATAGTCTATATATCATATTTTATATACATGCATGTTTGTATATATGGTGAAAAAAATTATTTGTCTTTGACCCTCCGATGATAAAATTCTGATTCCGTCCACAAAGAAGAATAATTGAATGAAAACTTGGAACAAACAAATTTGTGTAATCCTAGTTCTCCAAAAACAAAAACAAAAACAAAAACAAAAAATGTGTAATCTTTTGCCTTTTATTTATGCAATTGCCAAAACGAAAAAGTTCATCAGACCATTAAAAAAAAAAATTTGTAATTTTTGTATAGTACTGAGAAATGAGATCCTTACACTTTCATCACATTTGATTCAAGAAAGGCAACCCACAATGTTTTCTATGTCATACCTTACAAACCAAAAGGTCTAGTACTTGTTCCCACTTTTACATTCAAACTTTCGGATAAAACATTGTCAAAAGTTAGGAATCACTGACCTCTGATCAAGGATGATTCATATCGGAGAAGGAATAAAATGAAGCACATTGAAATCACGAACCATCCATAGCAATATCGTTGCTATTTGGGTTAGGCTGGTTTTCCCCAAAACGGACTCCAGATGGATTCTGATGAGTTTGGACTGCACCAAAAGTGAACTCGTGAGGAGCGATGTCTAATGGTGGACGAGCGAAAATGGACGGAGCACTGAGGCTGTTGAAAGCAGGGAGAGGGACCGGATCGTTTGGCTTTGGGATGCCAAAGCTAAAGGATGGGATGGCCGATGACGTGAAGACTGGCAAGACCGCCGTGTTGTTCTCAATCAACCCAAAGATCTTCTGCTCATACTCCTGTAATTGCCGGTAGACAGCTACATTTCATGAATGAAAAACAAAGGATGTTAATACTATTACCATCTTTTTGAAAAGGGTAAATTACAGTAAACCTCCTTAAACTATGACCTATTTGCATTTTGCCCTCCTAAACTTTAAAGCTCAGCAATTAACCACCTCAAAGTATTATTCTGTTATAGTCAACTCTTTTTGTTAATATTTTGTTAGGGATTTACACAAAATCAGATCATGTGCAGAAGACCTGACACATTTATTAAATTTTTTGGACAATACTACTCTAATCTGGAGATCCGATTTGCACTTTGTCACTACACAGGAGACAAAGGGCAAATGAGATAACCAAATAAGGATGTTATTGTCAAAAAAATATTAATAACGGATATTATTGTCTTAAAAAATCAAGAGTAAATTACACTTTGCACCCCTACACTTTATACCAAATCTCACTCTGGTCCCTACACATGAAATTATGACAGTCAACTCCCTGCACTTCTAGTAAAATCTCACTTTAGTTCCTACATATGAAATCATGACAGTCAACTCCCTATACTTTTGCTCAAATCCCACTTTAATCCTACACAAGTGTCAATGTCCCTTTTCTGTTACTTTATTTTTAAATCTTTAACAAAATACAATCATGTGACAAAAATGTGACTATGAAATGAGGACAAGAGAGGAAAATCATTCATGTTTCCCACTAATACACCTTATCCTACTTAATAAGCATGTGAGAGTCATATAATACAATATATATATATATATATACACATATATGTTTGTATGGTAAAAATTGAGGCGAAAAGACAAGAAAATAGAGCCTTTGAAATATAAAAAAGATGCGACAAAGAAATCAATGAGAGGAAGATGAATAGACAGAAGACTGTGTTACCGTAAAGAACAGAGTTTCGTGATTCCAATTTATCCAAAACCCTAGTTCATCTTCGTAATCGTTCACAATCTGTGTTATTTTAACCTAATTGTCATAATTTGATGTAAATTTTGGGATAAAGTGTGTATTGGTAAAAAATATAGATGATTTTCCTCAATTACCTTCATATTGTAGTCACATTCTTGTCACATGACTATAGATTCTATTAAAGATCTAAACAATTGAGTAACAAAAATGGAACATTGACACTTATGTAGAGACCAAAGTGAGATCTAACTAAAAGTACAGGGAATAGATTGTCACAATTTCATATGTAGAGACCAAAATGGAATTCGACCAGAAGTGCAGGGAATTGACTGTCATGATTTTATGTGTAGGGGCTAAAGTGAAATTTGGTACAAAATGCAAAGGTGCAAAGTGTAATTTATCCAAAAATCAATAAGTGTATCATATACTTCATACATGACCTCATTCTGTTTAAATCCCTAACAGAATCATAACGAAAAATGTTAGGTATAACAAGATAATAGTTTGAGGTGACTAACCGTTGAGTTTTAAAGTTCAAAAAGATAAAGTGCAAATGAGTCATCATTTAAAAGGGTTTACTATAATTTACCCCCTTGAAAATATTTCTATTTTACACACAATATGAAAGATCTCAAGACCAAAAACTAAGGGTCCAGCTAGATTGACATCTACAAAATTAGGGCACCTTGATGAGATTTCGACCTCTTGGGTTTTCCACTTCTCAGGACCATTTATTGGTGGTTCTATTAAAAAGAAACAAATATCCACACAAAAAAAAATAAAAATAAAAATAAAAATTCCAAAACAAGTTTGCATAACCCTAAGAAGCATGGACACTAAGGTACACTTCCCAACACTACACACGTGAAACAATTTACAAATTTGAATAAAATAATTTAGAATCTCATAATAAAACTAAAACAATGTATGGCTCTGTTTGGAACGCTTTTCAAATTATAATTCCACCCTTTTATTTGTGTTTGACGTTTGTTTATGGTTTTCCAAAGTTAATTTCACATTCAATTTTGAAAACTCTGTCTTAGGCGGGAAAATTTGGCCTAACCGAAAGTCCCACTGGTCGTCCGGCCAGTTAACCGGAACAGTACAAATTTTTTTTTTTTTTTTAAATTGACACATTAATTTTTATATTCGAAAAAAATATTTTCTGAATTTTTTAAAATTTTTTATGAGCTTTAATAGAATTTTGAGTTATGTGCTTGGTTATAAGTTGTTTTTGTATCAAATATCATGTCACATCAAAAATTCCCACTCAATTCAAAACTCTTGTCAAAACTCTTTCACCAAACATATTTTCTACACTCAAATCATAATTCTAAAACTTACAAACTCAAAATACAACTTCTACTCTCAAATCATATTTAGAAAACTCTACCAAATGCAACCTATATTTCTCCTTTAGACTTTTAAAATAATGATATTTAATTTAAATATTCATATATATGACATATAATAATTAATTACCTTTATATATGATATATAATATATATGATTCCATATTTTACACGTATCCCTCACGTGCCATGTCCTACCTTTTTTTTAAAACTTGCGTGTTTGCGTGTCTATGCTTCTTAGTAATCATCTATCCTGGAAGGTTGTATATAGATTAATGACTTCAGTGAGTACTTTACTTTAGTGTCAGATAGAAAATTAGCTTTAGATTCCAAGGATGAGCCAACCAATCCAATCAATTAACTGGTTGCGGCCTAACTACAGTAATAGTAATAAAGGCCCAAATTTCCTTTGTATCCAATTTCTATTAGCAATGTTGTCAAGAGGTATCAGGGGATTGATATATTATAGTTGAAATCTATGAAGCACGGACACCTCTCTAAGGATTGCGTATCAGTGTCAGATACGGACACGCGTCGGACATGCAGTGGACACGTACGTAGCAAAGAGTAGGGGTGCAACTCGGGCGGGCTCAACCCGAGCAACCCGAGCTCAGCCCGAGTTTTTTTAGGGCTTGGGCAACTATATCTTGTAATCTGGACGGGCTTGGGCAGATTTTTGATGCCCGAATTGCAATTCGGGCCGGGCTTGGGCAGAACCAATGGCCAACCCGAGCAACCCGAACCCGAATTCAATTTAATATATTATATAAATTATATAATATATATATAATTTAATAAATTATGTAAAATATATAAATTAAGTAAAAGAGTTAGTCTTAATTTTTATTTTTATTTTTATTTTTGGTTAGTCTTCTATTAAGTAAAAGAGTTAGTCTTAATTTTTATTTTTTATTTTTTTTTGGTTAGTTTTCTACCATTAGATTAGCATCTTTTATGTCTACCCTTAGATCTACCTACAGGTTTCTGAACTCGGGCAATTCGGGCAACCCGAGTTCAAAATACAAAGCTTGGGCCGGGCTTGGGCAACAATGTTCGGGTTCATGGTCGGGCTTGGGCGGGCTTGGACAGTGCCAAATACAATTCGGGTCGGGCTTGGGCAGACCCCCAACCCGACCGAACCCGCCCGAGTTGCACCCCTAGCAAAGAGTATATTTAGTTTTTTTTTTTTTTTTTTTTTTTTTTTTTTGCAGCTGGACACGTAACGGACACGTTCGGGGTCAATTTCATGAATCATGAAACTTCTATGTGGGTCAATTTGTAAAAAGCAAAAACAAAACAATATCTAACCTAAATCGACAGAGAAAAGAAGAGAGAGAGAGAGAGAACAGAGAGAAGACCAGGTAGCTTTTCGTTGATCGTTCATCGGTTGTCGTCGTTCGTCACTCATCGGTGGTCGCTGCTCGCTGTTGCTGCTGTTATCTAAGGTACAACTTCGTTGTTCTTCTTCATTCTTCTTCTTCTTCTTCGATCTTCTCCTTCTCCTTCGATCTTCTTCTTCTCTGATCTTTCTCCCTCTGTCTCAGTCCCCCTCTCTCTCTCTCTTCTCCTCTGCTTTGAGCTTTTATTTTCGATTTTTAGTTTTTATTTTTTCTTTTATATGTTCAGTGGGATGGGAGTGTAACATCTGTCTCTCTCTCTATTATTTTTTTTTCTAATTTCATTTTATATTTTCTTTTCTCTGTACCTCTATTATTTGAAGTATATATATATATTTTTGATTAGTTTTGTTAATTTTAATAATGTGTTTATTAATTTTATTATAGAGATTAATTTTTAATAATGTTATTTTTTATTTTTTATTACCTTCTAATGAATTTTTTTTTATAATTTTATGACATATAGTAAATAAATTTAATTATATATATTAAACGTGTTCCCAGCGTGTCGTGTCTCCTATTTTTTGAAAATTTGCGTGTTTTCGATTTTTAGTTTTTATTTTTTCTTTTATATGTTCAGTGGGATGGGAGTGTAACATCTGTCTCTCTCTCTATTATTTTTTTTTCTAATTTCATTTTATATTTTCTTTTCTCTGTACCTCTATTATTTGAAGTATATATATATATTTTTGATTAGTTTTGTTAATTTTAATAATGTGTTTATTAATTTTATTATAGAGATTAATTTTTAATAATGTTATTTTTTATTTTTTATTACCTTCTAATGAATTTTTTTTTATAATTTTATGACATATAGTAAATAAATTTAATTATATATATTAAACGTGTTCCCAGCGTGTCGTGTCTCCTATTTTTTGAAAATTTGCGTGTCCGAGTGTCCGTGTCCGTGCTTCATAAGTTGAAATATAAGCTGGAAAAGGCAGGAATAACAATGACAAGAACTTTGGCTGATGCTGATACCAGGGAAGAAGCAGTCTGCTCGGGCAAAAGCCATAAGAAAGCATGCACAAACATACATGCAACATGACTCATCTTTTAATTCTTCTTAAATAAAGATATGAATATCCGACCTATCTTTCTTGACCATTATTGATTTTTGTCTCCCTCTTAACCCTACTAGCATGCAAACAGGTACTGTGATCTTATAATTCCAATGGGAGAGGCATTTATAGTACTAAGGCATTTTGCCTGGTATCGTGACAGAACGGAGCTCCAACAAGACAGGCAACACGGTAGCATTTTGCCTCACCCTCTCTTGGCTAGCTACTTTTTATGTACTTTTGTTAGGCGAAATGCCTATTAGTGTTGAGTTGCTCTTACAAAACTAAGAAATGGTCAGCTGCTAAGTCAAGTAGTATCAATTTGTTTCTTTTATCCTTATCCTACACACTACTGATTGTTTGTTGCTTTGATGATGTGATATTCCAAGCATATATACCACCAAACAAATTAGCTTCCATCAATTAAAATATAATCAATCTATATAACTTTATGGCATCACCTTGAGTTAATTCAACAGGTGGTCTCCGATCTTTCACCCATTGGTAACTCTGTGCAAGTCTCCATCCTTTGCTCTTCATCAAATAAGCTATCACAATACCTGGCGATCTGAGGAAAAATAGCATACATAAAATCCCAGGTGAAGATACGATTTGTTAATGTCCTAATGACAGTTAATTATTACTGTGTGCAAGCATGCATTTGTAAATCTATGTTGTGTACTATTTCATATTGATAGAAAAAAGAGGTTTAACCCCAAAAACACAGAAATTTGTATTAAAAATTTCACCTGCTTTTTCCAGACATGCAGTGGACAAGAACACGTGCCCTATCCCTTTCACATTGCTCTGTAAAACAAACATATGTTGCATTAAGCTCGGCTGAGTAAGCAAATTAAACTACAGAAAACACAAACAAAAATTGCCTATCAAATTAAGAGCATCCGAAGTTATCACGATGCAACCCAGAAACAAATGTTATTTGTAGGACAGTAATGGAGTGACACGGCTGATAAATTTCGTATGAAACGGAATCCATGAAACCGTAAGTGCTAGGTTAGAACAATACAAGACAAGCCAGGTCTAGCTATTCAAGTGTGGGATTAGTTGCATCAAGTACATTGTACATACAATCAGTCATCACTGGATTTATTAAGATCAGGGAAAAGGGTTAATAGAATTTTGCTGCTTGTTGACATTTTTAAATTAATGAGAATATAATGACGGCTAATGAAACTGCTATCGTTGCCATTAGTCTTGCTTTATCAATAAATCTTTCCACAGACCCTTCCCCAAAAAAATAAACAAGTGAATAATCAAAAAAAAGACTTCTGCTTGCTATGAAGTTGGAAAAAAAAGTTGAAAACAAGCAATACAAGTTCTAGAGGATAATTACAGTGCTTCTAGATTTAAGTTCCTCAACTTCAGAAATTTGAAGCCCTCAGAAGGATCCTTATACAAGAGAAAATATAAGCCAAGACCATGTTTGAATGTAGTTATATCCCCCAGTTTTGAAAGAAACAGGCTAAAAGCGAAATCAGAAGACAGGGCTGCATGTCTCTTAACATTATTTTCAGGCAGTTCTACAAAATCATTTTTTTTTTATCAACGACGATGTAATTTTATTAGAGAACACGTGCCAAGAGGACAAAACCCTTATAAATCCAAACACACACACACACAGATCTATGGACCAAAACACCAAATACATCCGCAAAGGTTCAAACTTGCACCAATTTCACAAAAGGTGTGCTTTCCATATTTCTCCTCTAGCCTTTTCAATAATT